GATAAAACTAAATTGTTTCGCTAACCTGCCAGTAACCTTTTTTAGTAACCGGAACATAAGTGTGATCTCCTTTGAAGTGTTTTGGATCAACACCTCCAAAAACTAGTTCACCTCCCTCTTTCGCATTTGGATCCCCATTGAGCCAAAAAGAGAACACCTGCTCACTTACAAGATTTTGCTGCACCATATTGTACCTGTAATTTATAATGGATCAGTAAATTAAAAGATGTAGAAGACATTCAATTGTCCTTCTGACCTGGATATCAGATGCAAATGAATTAACAATAGAAAAGGATGAAACATACCATACTGGCACAGAATTTTCCACTGAGATCTCCTGAAACCCAAGCCCAAGTAATCCATCAAACTTTGCAAATAGAAAGGAAAGACTTCCTTCTCGAGTTGCCTCAATGAAATCCTACAGTTAAAAAGAATAATATAATGTTAAATTTTCTAAAGTTAAAAAACTGTACAGTCTAGATGTGGCAAGGGAGCTCATGTATAAAGATGTACTCACCTGCTTCTTGATAACAATATCACCAACTTTAACATTATCTTTACTGAAAAAACCAGATATTGATCCAGATCCATAGCGTATTTTACATGATGTTCCTGGTTAACAAGTAAAAAAGGTGAATTCGAACATATTAAATGGCATGTGTATACCATGCACTATCACTTAATGTAGTGGTTACATGATTGCTTCTACCACTATAATGATTCTGAATAATGAGATGTTGGCATTACCATTTTTTATATATGTTTTGGACTTCTTTGCCTTGTACCAATGATGGGTATAGCAGGCAAGCTGTAAGAGAACATTATTCAGCAAGGCTCATTGATAGTACTTATTGGCAAAGATTCAATACACAGAAATTAAGATGAACTCACAGAAAAATAGCACTTTGATGATGGAACCCATAGGTTGGAACTACCAGTATCAAATATGACAGTAAATTTCTGTGGCGGTGTGCCAATTCCAATCTCTCCATAATATTGTGCATCCAAATAATTCTTCAAAGGCACTATTCCCTCATCGGTTGGTTTGCCAACATACTGATCATATGCACCCAACACAGGTCTTCCTAATCTTAGCTTGTCTCGTACCATTCTAGCTGTTCTGATACTATCAAGATCAAAATCTCTCTTCTTTAAACTAATTCTCATAAGTCCATATGAGAACGAAGGAAGAAGTGCGCATGTCAAAGCCCACAAACAAAAGGCCAACAACAAATACTTGTTCTCCATCTTCAGGGAGAATCTGTCAGACAGGGTACTGCGAAGGTAAGTCAGAGAAATAGTCCCAAATTTACATTCAAAGTAGCAACCATGAAACAGAATCACATATATAGGATATGTTTGAAACAAACTTCTCCATAAGATCCTTTCAGGAGATAAAAATAAGAATAAAAAATAAAATTTCTCCATTAGCTAAATCTAGCTTATGCATAAGCTAATTAGTAGAAACTTTTCTCATAGAGCTTCTCACACTTTTTATTTCTAACTAATACATAAGATAATCTTACCTTATAGAGAAGTCAAATTTCTTTTTTTTCTTATTTTTCTCTGCTGGAAGGACTTATAGAGAAGCTCATCCAAACATACTCATTTTTGGATAATTTTTTCCAAAATCACTTTGTGAAAGAAAAAATAAAATTAAATAACTTTTGCTATCCGCTAAAAATAACTTGAACATAAAATAAATAAATTAGCTTATGCAGAAGTTAATCTATAGAAGTTGTCACATATATATTAACTTCACTATTTTAACTTCTGGAAAACTTATTTTAAAAAAAGAAACTTATTTTGTTTTTCTTTCTTTTCTTCTTCTATCGAAACTATGGAAAACTTCATCTAAACAAAACCTTCAGTAGAAGTAAGATCTTCATCTACACACATCATAATAAACGGTGTTAATGGAATTATTAAAATGCATCCCAAATATCATAAGTCGAATCTTAAGAAAGCAACACTTGTCTTCTCCATCTTATCTCATTTTAATGTTTCTTTTCAGTTTATTTATCTACTTCTACACTCGTTTTACCCATAAATAAAAAGATAATGAAAAAAAAAAAAAAAAAACTTTTTTTCCTGTAACAATATTAGACATGCTCCCCAAATCCACAAGCGGAATATTCGACCAGATGCATCAAAAGAAAAAGAAAGGACTAACAGTGAGACGAAACATGTTTACACAGATAACAAGAAGACAGATCAAAATCAGTAGAAAAATGAGGATAAGATATCAAAAGAAAAAGGTCAACTGAACTGAACTCAACATACGATCATCATATCATAAACAAAGGAGAGAAAAAGATAATAAAAATCACACCAGGTAAAACATAGGGGAAATTATGAGAAATCAAGTGGTTTGAACTCACTACGGTGATTATATGTCTAAAGTTTTCATTTTTTTTCAGTGGGGCACATGTGGTTAGAGGTAGAAGATTAGAAAAATCAAACCTTTTTGCTACTGCAGCAACTAGAGTGGTACTTTACCAGGTTCAAGCAGAGTAGAGAGGAGGATTGGTGCAAGAACACGTTACCCACAAAGATAGGAAGGTGTTCTAAGCGGAGCAGATAGGATTATTTTTGGGTTCACTCAACAGGGACATGTAAGGTGAAAACAAACATTATATGTACTTAATTAATTGCTAAAATTTTATAAATTAAAATAAATTTTCTGAATATTATTTTAATTTTTACACTCATTTTTCATTTTTAAGTATATATATATATATATATATATATATAACTAATTATTTAATAGAGCGTGGCTTTTGGCACTGTGAAACAAAACAAAACCTCGCTCTTCTCATGCTCCAGAAATTTAGTTTAGTTTATTACGTGAAGCACATTATCTTTACGTTTCGTTCATTTTCTTTTTATTTACTAGAATTGAATATAGGTATGCATAGGTAAGAGAGATTTCCAACATTTTACACATTATTTAATTGAGTTAGATCAGTAGTTGATTATAGTAAAAAATGTGACAATGTCTATGTTAAGTTTTATGAAACAATTTTTTTCGTACGTTATACCAATAAAATAAAGGTCAATTTGATATCGAGTTTTATGCTAATTTAATATCAAGTTGTCAAATTTATGTATCAATTATTAATTAAATGGTATAGTAAGATGTAATTGTTGGATCGATATCAATTCTTTTTTTCTACCAAAAGTGAGAGGAAATATAATATAGTAAAAATGCTATTTTTCACGTGAAGATAATTGAAAAGTTGGAACTATTTATCTGATTTTGCTTATAAAATTAAAAGTCTGGAGAAACTTATGCGAATTTTAATTTTTTATTTACCTTTCACAAAAATGTAATACTTTTGTAACACAGTATAATAAATAGTTTGATATTAAAAATAACATAGGAAAATGTTTAAATTATTCTAGTTGGTATAAAATGTTTTTGTCTTTTTTTTTTCGAATGAGAAATAAGAAATTGACAATTTACTTTCTATTAAAAAAAATATTTTTATTTTATTTATTTTCTCCTAGTATGTATGTCTGTGTGGACATGTTTTATTTAAGTGTTTAAAAAACACTTCAAAAAACAAAAATCTTAATTAGTATTTAATTAATGGCTTGAATTAAATTATTGGACTGAAGAGTGGACTGTCTCCACACCAAACTAGCCCAATTCTGTCCGGCCCAGTCTCTGTTAGAGGCACAAAGCAAAGAGGCGCTCTCTTCCTTGCAGAGGCTGGGCAGCAACGTGACCTTCCCGTTCTCTGGCTTCGGTCGTTTTGTATTTTGAGGTAATTTTTTTTGTCAGTGAGAACTGAACCTTTGATTCAACATCACCTTGGCCATTGGTATCCCATATGTAACATGTTCCTCTAGTTCTGTTTCTGCTTAAATTTTGGAATCTTGTTTTGGTTTGATTAGTTGATAACCTTGCTTTTTGAGTGTTTTATGAAATGGAATGACCCAAGGAACAGTTTCACACGACTGTGGTTGGGAGATAATATATTGGTCGCTTCTGTTCTTTATTAAAGAATAATTAGTGTAGAAAACCAGGAATCTTAAATGATATAGAGGCTTCTCATCATTATTTTTATTGAGAAGTATTGGCACTTTTCGTTTTTCTACTTTGCTTGGATAGAAGGGTCTATAAAAGCATATTTGGTATGCAATTGACTGTCTTTTGGGGCACTAACGTCCAATTCGATAATTTTTTTCTCTAAACACCTGTAGGAGAAAAATAAATAGAAGGCAATGAATTGAGCTTCTTCTGTGAGCTAAAATCAACTTATGCACTAATTTTATAGAAGTTTTCTCCTTTAACTTCTTCAATTGTTTAGGTGCATAACTGGTTTAGCTTATGAAAGAAACTAACGCATTTTGCCTTCTTCTATAAGTTCTTATGGAAAAATTTATTCAAACAAGACATAAATCCTAATTCTCATTATGATATAGTCCCTCCATGGGCAATCTGAAATGTTACTTCTTTGAATTTGACTTTTGAAAGGAACAACAGGGAGCATGGTTGGATATGTTTGGGTAAATTTCTCTTTTGTAAATGCTAATATAGTAATACATAATGTTTGTAACTAACTGCCCCACCCTGAAAATGCTGCAATATCAATATGGTCCGATATAGCTAAAGTTCCTGCCGCTGCTGCTGCATTGTATTTGTGGCAATGAAACTAGTATTTGTCATTTTTTATTGTTGAAGTGCATAACATTGCATAACAAACTCGTCTCACATATTAGGTGGCTAATTTTATTTTTATTTTATTACAAAATTAAAAATTATCATAGGCAAAGTTCTAGTAAAACAAAGCAACTAGTTACCACAACTTGCAATATAAGCACCATCAACTTAATAGTTCCCTGTGCTTACCGTGAATCTTTCATTTGTTCTATTTGATTTTCATTTTACATCAACCACTTTTAAGTTTATAATTGACATTACCATCTAACTGTTAGAATGATTTCCGCTTGCATTGCATCACAGGCACACTAATGCAAACTGACTTTGTGATATGCTTACTGCTATATTAAAGTTAGACTTATTCTATTGGGACATCTTTCTTATCACACTTTCCCAGTATGTTGAGGCATTAACGGTTAACCAGTGGGGATATTTGTGTCAGGTAACTAACACAATGTCGCTGAGGCGTTTCTTAGGCTATTCTGACGGTGAGCTCATGAGGTCTGACGCAAAACCTTGTTCTCGGCTAATGAGGCACACAGCTGGAATCTATAGTGTTGGGGGAGCATTAGGGTTTTGGATCCTTTGTCGACTGCATTATGGTTTGTTCTACCTTTCTTGCTTTGTTCTTGTTCTAACTGAACTGCCGATAATATTACTTTCCTGGGGATGATAAGTAAAGTAAATTCAACATTTCTGGAGCATTTTCATGACTGTTTTATTATTTTTTGCTGAATCATTTAATCATTTGTTGAGACTAGACTAGAGGAAAAAGGTTGGGATAAAAACTTATACTTCTAAATTGGTTAAACTATGCAAAGGAAAGGATACATTATTGTGTACCTCATGGCCTTGTAGTAGTAGGTTCGTCCTCCAATGTTGCTCTTCCATGCTCTGCAATGGTAGGCTGTGTCTAGTACAAAAACTTCAATAGTTTAGTCAGTAAAGGTAGGGTAACATGAGGCAGCTAGATTTAAGGATTTTTTATAAGCTTCTTAATTTCTTATTTTTAGTCACCAATGTTAATAATTCATTTGGTCCATATTTGGTCATGCCCTAGTCAGAACATACATAGATACAAGAAGAAGCCAAATATATAGAAGAATGGAGATAAATCTGAATATATGATCCTATTTACAAAATGTACGGTAAGCCTCCTAAAGATAGACTATATGCATAAATTAGAATCAAAACTGACATAAATATGAACTAAAGGCAAGGCAACTAAATTATGTACCATTAGTCTGTTTAAATACAAGATAGAAATATTTTTGGGAGTTTCTCTAATGAAAATATACAGATTTTCCAGTGAAGAAACTCTTAAATTAAAAGCTTTTATCATTGTATCCAACTTTGATCTGTAAACACAATTGTGAGCCAACATGACTAACTATTAAAGCTTTACAGTCTGTCTTTAGGATTGTGAAGTCGGATTATAACTGTTATTTCACTGCGACAGAACCGAGCAAGTAGTCATTGCTCTTTTCTTCCGCCTAATTTTCCGGTGATAGACTCCTTGGTATTAGCATCTTCTTCAACTAGTCAAACTTGTTCTTTTCCTTCATTCAGTGTAACAGAGTACCCAAACTAATAAGGACGGTAGTTGGCCAACACTTAGCATGCTTCTTATTCAAAAGAAAGCCTTTATACGTGTTTCTTGTAGGATAAGGTGTCACTCTCGAAATGATTTTATGAGGTTTTAAATAGTGTTTACATCTCGCCTTTCTTCCCTTGAAAATCGTATCTTGGTGAAAAAATTGTGACATTGTAATGCATCCTTCTATCTCTGTCAAATTTTGTTGGCCATGCAGGTCCTCGAATTACAAATCCTAGGAGTCTTCGTTGGGCAGCTTGTGGAGCTGTAACTGTAAGCTCAAGCACGGCTTTACTGGTTCGTTTGTTTAGTCCTGAATGTGAGCCCCAGAATATAGCTGCTTATGACAATAAAAAGTAACACTGCTATTGTTGAGAACCTTTTCTCCCGGAAAATGGACCAGCGAGATTGAAATCACATCAGTCTTTTAGCATAATATAATTGACTTGACTAGCTAGGTTACAAATATCTTGCATACATAAGTTTTACGTTGTGGATTGCATTTTGTTCCATCACATGGGGAAACTTAAGTTAATTACTCTCTCACTATTAATTGCTACCAGAAAGGGTAAAACTTGTAGTTTAATTCTCTAATTTCTCCCCTAAAATTTTCCTGCAAATATCTTTTATTCCAAATCAATCGTTGAACTTTTTTAATTCATACGCCGATTATCTCAAGGCTACTTTCGTTTAGAACATAACTGAATAATTTTAATGGTTCTTATATGGCAATAGTTATATTAACTATGGTCTGGTACCAACAACAACAAAAATGGGCTAAGTTTACGAAATGGGTATGGGCCTTTAAGGCTATTGGTGATCGGGTCTCACTTCCTATACCACGTAATTTTCTTACACCCTTAGCTCTAAGATTTAATTTTTTTAATTTAATCTAATTTGGTCCCATTAATAATAAAAAGTTCAATTAAGTTTTTCAATTTTTAAAACTCAACTATGTAATCAATCCTTTGTTCAATTAGTAGTAAAATCACTAACAAACAAATATTCTTGGTCTTGGCCTTGTATTGAGAATTAAATTTGACGGAGGGTAAAATGAGTAAAAGAAAATGAAAAATATAATTGTTTGATTAAGAAAAAGAGAATAGAAAATAAAAATTATAAAAAATAAAATTATTTTAATTGATTAAAAAATATTTAAAAAATATTATAAGATAACTGCATATTTGATAGAAATATAATATATATATATATATATATATATATATATATATATTTTTTTTTATTTTTTTTTTTAACTTCGTCCCGTGGATCCAAATGGACGCTTAATGTATACATGATATACTTTATAATTAATATTCAATGACAACTTAAAAAATTAAAGACTTTAATTCAATAAATAAAAGGGTTACGTCGTGTTTTTTCTTTTTAAATTGGAGGACTTGATTGAACTTTGGAAGGAATATATTGTTACATTTAAAAGAAAAAATACATTATTGCTGTCATGTTTCTTTTTTATATATTTCACAAACATTTTATTTTTTAAACCTTTTCATATGTCTTCAACACTACTTCCTCACATTTTATTTACTAATAAATTTTATTTTTTTAATATTTTATGTTTTTTAACCTTTTTCATTTATTTATACATTACATTCAAATGTTTATATTTATTGTATAATATATTTATAAAAATTGCATTACTCATAAATTTATTGCAAGTGTTTAAAAATAATAAAATTTACTAGTAAATAAAATGTAAGAAAGTGATGTTTAGTTTAATTTGAAAAGGTTTAAAAAAATATAATGGTTATGATACACAGAAAAACAAAACAAAAATAATAAGTACATATCATAGGGAACCTGGGTCTTTAGATATATGTATATCATTTTGTATTTGGTCAGTTTTATTTTATTTTTTGAATTAGTGGAACTTCCATAAAATTCAGTATATTGTTAACACTTCCAATCTTTAAATGGTGAAGTTGACCCTCTATGCAAATTTCAGTATTTATAAAATTATAATATATCAAAGGCTCATATTTATTGGTGTATGCATATGTAAATTTTTATCCTAATTGGATCAGATTCATATCTATTATCCCAGAGCTACACAGTTACTGAGTCCCAAATAGGTAACATGATGAGACTTAATGACATAATTTGATTTATACTTAAGAAAATACACAGATCAAAATACATATCCAAATTTTAAGATAATACATAGCTTCAAAACTTGATGATGAATCCTTTTATGTAACAGATTACTGGTAATTAATCAAATGGATATGGGAAAAGTAAATAGATCTCAATGATAAATCAAAGAATACGATAAAAGGAAATTAGTGTCAATGATTAACCAAAAGCAAAATGAAAATTAGGTAGAAAGATGAACGAATTGTTGGTTATATGTCAAATAGTAGGGAATAAAATAAAATCAAACAAAACAGAACGGACATTCATAGAAAATTGATGGATTCGTATTCTATCATCTCACGCACCTTTGTATGCAACATTCGAAACACATTCCAGAGCTCTGTAGTTACATTCATTTCAAAAGTAACAAATGTGTTATCTTTTTATCACCATACCTTGAACCTTCAGCTAAATTTCATATTTAGGCAAAGTCAAATGGCAAAACACATTATGACAGAAGTTCTTCTTTGAAAAGAAAAATAAGCCTGCCTCGAAATGTAATTTACATATTACTGTATAAAATTAAAAATGAATCTGATTAAGTGAAATGGAATCGACAAGCATCCAAATTATCACATAGAGTCTTATTATTCAATCAATTGGACTTAATGAAATACTTATAAAAAATGAATTAATCAAACCACTTTAATTTAACATCTTGAAATTTATGGGTTTATATAATACTTCTGACCATAATTTTCAATAACAAGTGGAGGTTCTGGATAACGTATATCTCCAAATGGTAAAAATTTAACCATCTTTGAAGTTGTCCGAGTAATGATATGTATAAAAAGAAAACATCTTTACTCTACACTTCATTTTTTTTTCCCACAAATTAGATGGGAAACAAAATCAACAAAACTTTTACTCACAGGAAATCGATGGTCTTATCACTTTTATGGATTATACTTCACCGTCGCCCGTAACATTGTATACGACCTGGTTGGCAATGAAAACAAACATTAATTCTGTGTTTGGATTATATGAGAAAAAGGGATGTTCACATTTTCTGAAGCAGAAGTAAAAATACCCCTTTGTCAAGTAAAAAGTTTAAGAAAAAGTCTGTTTATAGAAGGACTTGGTCTCTAACACATTGAAAGTAACTAACCTTGGTTTCAACGACATGGACAAATTCCTTTTTCGTTTGCTACATTGAGATTGCCAAAGTTTCATTATTCTTGTCAAATGGTAAATCAAGCACAAAAACTAATCCTCCTTGATAATGAAATGTTAAACCAATAATGTCCTTCACTTTAAGAAAACATTTGAAGTAATGAATAATAAGCAAGCAGAACAGGATTACTTTTAAGAAAGCTGTTGCCAATGTTGAATTTAGAGCACACAAAAAAAAATATTTATTAGTCGTATTAAGTTTTTCTGTGGAAATAAACTAAAATACTATATATAAGCTGTAAATTAAGCAAGCAGAAGATGATTGATTACTCAGTAGTGAAATTCTATTGTTGCTTGTTAGTGGGGTGTGCATAGAAAACCAAATTCCAAGCATGAAAAGAAAAAGATGGGAAATGGATTGCAATGATACCTTCACCTCCTGCAGCATTACATTGCATTGCATCACATAAATAAGAAAACAGCAGCATCCATAAAAAGGGCAACTTTATGCTTGTAGTTGATTGGTTCTTCCCTCATTTTATATTCCAAATTTCCCAAGTCACTATGTGGATTATTGAGCAGAACAGCGAATGAAAGATAATATCACCACAATTTGTCCTCATCCTCTTTCCCCTTCCTCACTCACTCCACCCTCCTCTCACAATCTCCAATGGCATCCACCGAACACCAAAACGGCGACGCCGTTTCCCATCCTAAGAAGAAGCTAAAGCCCTGTAATTTCATCACTGAGGCCGAGATCCAGTCGGAATTCTCCCACCACGACACCGCCGTGGCGCGCCTCAACAACGGCGCCTTCGGCTGCTGCCCGGCCTCCGTCATCGCCGTGCAGCGCGACTGGCAGCTCAAGAACCTCCGCCAGCCGGACCACTTCTACTTCAACGACCTCAAAAGCGGCCTCCTGCACTCCCGTACCATCATCAAGGACCTGGTCAACGCCCACCACGTCGACGAGATCTCCCTCGTCGACAACGCCTCCACCGCCACCGCCATCGTCCTCCAGCAGGCCGCCTGGGCCTTCAACGAAGGAACCTTCCAGAAGGGTGACGTTGTCCTCATGCTCCACTACGCCTATGGCGCCGTCAAGAAAGCCATCGAGGCCTACGTCGCGCGCGCCGGCGGCTCCGTGGTCGAGGTCCCCCTCCCCTTCCCCGTAACCTCCAACGACGAAATCGTCCGCGAGTTTCGCAAGGCGGTTGAGAAGGGAAAGTCCCGAGGTAACAGAATCCGCTTGGCTGTTATCGACCACGTGACTTCCATGCCCAGCGTGGTCATTCCCCTTAAGGAGTTAGTTACCATCTGCAGGGAGGAGGGCGTGGAGCAGGTTTTCGTGGACGCGGCGCACGCGATTGGGTGCACGCGCGTGGATATGCAGGAGATTGGCGCAGATTTCTACACCAGCAATTTGCACAAGTGGTTCTTCTGCCCTCCTTCTGTGGCGTTCCTCTACGCACGTGCGTCGCCCAAGTCACGTGACCTGCATCACCCGGTGGTGTCTCACGAGTACGGAAATGGGTTAGCGGTGGAGAGTTCTTGGACCGGGAATCGGGACTACAGTGCACAGTTGGTGGTTCCTGCTGTTATGGAGTTCGTGAAGATGTTCGAGGGTGGAATCGAAGGCATCAGAAAAAAGAACCATGAGGTTGTGGTTGAGATGGGGGAGATGTTGGTGGAGGCTTGGGGAACGCATCTTGGGAGTCCTCCTCATATGAGTGCTAGCATGGTGATGGTGGGTTTGCCTCCATGTTTGGGGATTTTTAGTGACTCTGATGCTCTGAAACTTAGGACGCGATTGAGAGATAAGTTTGGGGTTGAAGTCCCCATTTATTTTGCTGGAGGAGAAGATGGGTCTGTTACTGCCTATGCCCGAATTTCTCGTCAGGTTTACAACAAACTTGAGGATTATATCAAGTTTAAGAATGCAATTGATGAACTTGTGCGTGATGGCTTCACTTGTGCTCTTCTTTCTGATTGAACTTTGTGTTATGTCCTCTTTGCTTTAATTAACTCCAAATAACAGATAATATACATCAGTTTTTCTATACAGAATAATATCTGCAAATATTGAGTTTGCATATTTGCTTATTCTGCCCTTCTGCACCTACTTTACTTCATTTCTGCAAACTTGCACCATCACTGTTGTGGATGTCTCTTCCCTATTTTAGAACATTGCTGCAGAAGCACAAATAAACACTAAGCATAGATTCGCACTGTTCTTCATGTATAATTGGAATTTTGCCAGGTTTAAGGAGAGATTTCCATTGTATGTCAATTCAAGTTGTATCTATGGATTTGTCATTTTGGATTCTCTGTTTTGATATTTCAGCCTTTTTCATCATTTACCCTGTTTTGACTCTCTTTTTTCCAAGTGGATTAACTCTCTTCCCATACAAAATATTACTTTAAATAAGAGTCTTTTTTAATGTAATATCATTAACCACGTAAAAAAATAACTTTATAATATATAAACATAAATTTTTAAAATATAAGTGATATTATATAATTATATAGAGATATAGTAGATGAACAAACATCTATTTGAAAATCTTATTTTGAACTCGTTATTGGTTATAAAATTTAAAATCATGTATTTGATTTTTAAATTTATTTTATTTTTTATTGTATTTTAAAATTTTGAAATTATTACTTTAATTATAAAAAATTAAAATTTTGTATAGATTTATTATTGATTATATTTTCATTTCTGAATTTTATTTGTTTATTTATTTATATTTTAAAATTTAACTTTGAATAATTTCTAAAAATATGTTTTACTATAAAAAAAATATACTATTTCTTTTTTCATTTTATCATTTAATACATAACAACATTTGAAAAATAAAATTTTTTATTTCTCATATTCAAAAATTAATAAATATAAAAAAGTATAAATTATGAAAAATCATATTTATCAACATAATTAAACACAATTGCAGCGGTAGATTTCTTAAATGTACCTCTCTCTTATTAATAATATTGAATTATACGTTCACTCCAAAAGTGGTATTATTTAAAAGTATTTAATGTTTAATTAAAATTTGTATCCATTGGTTTATTTGTGTTTTAGTTTGATTTGATGGTTAAAAGTTTATATTTTTAATGTTTAATAAAAATCTATCTCTTAAATATTATTAGATTGTTAGCATAATACACATTAGGTTAGGTTATTAGGGTGATGTACGGTATTGATGGACATCTTAGCATATTTAAGGTTATTTAGAACATCTCGTTTGTTCAAATAATTGAGATAACATACGATGTCATATTTAAAAAATAAATATTTTTAAAAAATTTATATATAAAATTAATTTATAATTAAAAAAAAAACTAGTGAAACTCTCATCACTACTTGTACCCAAGCCATTACGTGTATCATAAATAATTCTTATTAAATTAGTCTTATCTCATGTATAACTACAAAACCTTTATATTAAAAAACAAATTTTTTCCTGTCACCATTATTTATTATAGTTGTCCATCACTTAAACATGTTTGTTTCATTAAATTTATTGTTCATGTGGATGGAAGAGTGTGAATCTTGTTGTTTATATATTCACCTTATGAAAGGTTCAAATAGATTTGAATAAGAGTGAGAAATAAGAGTCTCCTAGTAATTGATAAGAGGAGCGAAAAAATAAAAGAGAAAGAAAATTATATTTCTATCCTCGTCTCATTCAAAATTCATAATAATAAGAACAATGTTTCACCTTACTTTACATTCATGTAGTGAATCTTTGTAGGAAATCGTTTAGAAAAGTGGGTGTAATGCATCCATTTCATGCAGGAAATCTTGTTGTGCATGTAGGGAATTGTTGTCGTTCAACTACATGTCTCACATGCACTTACAGTAATCATCTTTGTCCCAACAAGAGTGACCATTAAATATGCACAAGGAATGATCATTAAATACGCATAAGGACTGGGTGGTGGAGGTGATGAGTTGGACATTCGTCCGTGAGGTGAGTTCATGGAGGTTCATTTGATGTGTGTAATGTGCATTGGGGTGGTGCTTAGCTGAGAGAGGCTTAGAGAATCGATTATAAGGAGAGAACTAATTCTTGGTCCACAGATAATCGATTCTCGCTTGTTTGAACTGATGAAAAATCAATTCCCACTTCCTTTTAATGCATGGAGAATCAATTCTTCCTAAGACTAGAATCAATTTCACTTCCTTTGCACGCATAGAGAATCAATTTTCCTTGATAGCATAATCGATTCTCGACCTCGACTCATAACACAAAATTGATTCTCGTGGACAAGAATCGATTCTCGACCACGTTTTACGCATAAGAAAATCAATTGTCGCATGTGCACATGATCATTCATGTGTATTGTGTTGATTTGTAGACTCTATGTGGTTCTCCTCCATTGTGTGACCGTGGAACTGTGGATGGTGGTGGTGTGGTCATGTTGGTGTTGGTCCGTTGTATTGTGATTGTGTTGGTGCTGCTCTATGGTGTTGGTGCGTCGAGGTACTGGTTATCAAGGTGAGTTATCGGTGGTGCTAGGTGGTGTCGTGGTGAGTTTGTGCGTGGTGTTCGTGGCACGGAGACCAATTGGGTGGTGGTTGTTGTAAAAGCTAACAGAGACACGAGCAAACTTTATTCCTGAGGCGTGTATAAACACTGCCCTTAAGGACTTATCCGCGGTGTATTGCGCAAGTCCCCCAGGATACAACAGGAACTTCTCGGGATATCCGAGGATCTCAGAAACTAGCAAGAAACTCTCAAAAGAGTAAATTAACCCAAGAACACAGAAAAGATCAGAGAAGAGAAAATGAGAGAGGTGTATTCTGAAGAGTGTGAAGTGGTCTCTATTTATAAGAGAAAGTTTGTAACAGTTATGGAAGACTTGGTAGTGGGTCTGTAACGTTTCCTGTAACGTTCTCTGTAACGTTCTCTAAAACGTTCTCTGAAATGGTCTTCTGCAACGTGTTCTCTGAAATGGTCTTCTGCAACGTGTGCTCTGTTTTGCTCTGAAACAGTCTTCTGTAACGTGTGCTCTGTTTTGCAATACCCCTTAATTTACAACAATCCCCCACATATTGCAAAACAAAAGGGGATAAAAGAAATAAAAGAAGAAAATCCTGGGTCTCATATAAGATGTAATGCATCAGAGCTGGTATAGCAAGCTATATGAACCAGTCTTAGACTAAAAAACTTAACACACAGTGTAGTTGGTGTAGCAAGCTATATGAACCAAAACACTTAATGTGTGTTAGCGGTTTTAATAATCACAATACACCCCCACAATTCTTGTTGTTATCGCTGTGTTGCGCTTACTAGGCCATGCGCGTGCCCGGTATTCATGAGTGTTCTAGAAATCTTGCAAAGATCTCATACAAGCGGCCCCATTCGACACTCATATAGGTGACTTCATCAAGCGTATGCTGCAAATCATACACCACCCTTAAGGGATATGAAATCGTTTAAAAACTTTGTTTAGACTAAAATTCGTACTCCACATAGAATTTTAATTACAAAGTTTAACCTCTCAATAATGCAGTATCTAGCACTTTCACATATACACCATAGGAATGGACATAATTGATTTTAATCAATTTTAGTGCTAGCAGAACTAACAAGTGACTCTTTTTACCCATATGAACCTTATTCATGGGATCTCCAATCACAAAGGTTGGGTTATCATCACCTGTTTGTTTGCAAGTTGCTTAAGGCCCATTCCCCTCGATGTTTCTAAAATCATATTTCTCGCTAAGGGTTTTGTCAGAGGATCTGCTAGATTCCGTTCTGACTTCACATAGTCAATGGAGATTGTTCCATTCTTTAGCAGCTGCTTCACTAAATTATGTCTCAACTGTATATGTCTGTTTTTTCCATTGTAGTTCTTATTTTTTTGCTATAGTTATTGCCGATTGACAATCACAGTGTATTGATACAGACGGGATCGGTTTCATTCCTAATGGAATGTTTACTAAGAAGTTTTTCAACCACTCAGCTTCACTACCAGTCATTTCGAGAGCAACAAATTCAGATTTCATTGTTGATCTTGCAATAATTGTTTGTCTGGCTGATTTCCATGTAATCGCACCACCCCCGAGTGTGAATACATAGCCACTAGTGGATTTTGTCTCATCTAAATCAGAAATCCAGTTAGCATCACTGTATCCTTCTAGTACAGCGGGAAATCCACTATATTCAATGGCATAATCCATTGAACCTATTAAGTATCTCATAAGTCTTGTAAGTGCATTCCAATGTTCTTGATTAGGACATTGAGTGTACCTACTCAGTCTACCTACTGCATAAGCAATGTCAGGTCTAGAAAAGCTCATTAAATGCAGTAAGCTCCCAATTACCTGGGCATACTGAGGTTGAGAGATTGAGTCTCCTCTATTTTTCTTTAATTTAGAGTTAGCATCATAAGGGGTATTCACTGGTTTGGCGTTATAACACCCAAACTTCCTAAGAAGTTTCTCAATATATTGTTCTTGTGATAGAAAAATACTATCGCCCTTCCTTATGATTTTAACACCCAAAATCACATTGGCTTCACCCATATCCTTCATTTCAAATTTAGATCCCAGAAACAACTTAGTTCTGGAGACAATGTCAATGCATGTACCAAATATTAACATATCATCTACATATAAACATATAATGACACATTCACCACTCTCAAATTTAGAGTACTCACATTTATCAGCATCATTAGTTGAAAAACCATTACAAAGTAGAACACTATCAAGTTTTTCATGTCATTGTTTTGGTGCTTGTTTTAATCCATATAATGATTTTAAAAGTCTGCACACTTTGTTCTCTTGACCTGGAACAACACACCCTTCAGGTTGAGTCATATAAATTTCCTCCACTAATTCACCATTCAAAAAGGTTGTCTTAACATCCATTTGGTGTATAACTAGTTTATGGATAGCTGCTAGAGCTAACAAAACTCGAATAGAGGAAATCCTAGTCACAGGGGCAAAGGTGTCAAAATAATCAATGTTGGATTTTT